CAAGCCCATGTCCAACCAAGCGGTCTAACCCAGTTCATCGGCTTCCATTTGGAGCTCTCGATCCTCCTTCAGATTGGCATGCCTCAATGTCCGCAAATTGCTACACATCGGTCAACATGCAGCTCACCCTGCGATCCCCTTCAGGTGACGCAAGCGGTATTTGCCCATTGCGCCTATCTGGTGACGATACATCTTCGAGCACCGGCCAAGCTGGTGTTGGGATTGCCCTAAGTCCCGGGCTGAAGCTGCTCTGGTTGGTTGGATCCCAGTCAGTAGCCGGGTGTGTGCGGTCCGATTGGCTGACTCGTTCAAAGCTTCGAAATCGCGCGGGATTAATAGGTGTCTATTCATCATCGGTGCCTACGCGCCCACAAACTATAGGGATGATTCGTTAAAAAATGACTTCTACCGCCAATTTACCGAGCTCCTTCGCCACAGAAGAAGCACGGACACAGTAATGCTGGCGGGGGATCTGAACGCACAAGTTGGAAAGTTGTCCACTGATAAAATGCATCTGGACGGTCAGCACGGTGTAGGCTCCGGTAATGATAACGGTGAGCGGTTACTTCGTTTGTGTGAAGATGCCCGCTTATTTCTTGCGAGCACTAACTTCTGACAAAGCATTCGCCGGAGGGTGAGTTGGCGCCCCCAGCCTTGGACGCAAATCGGTTACATTGCAATCAGTTACCGCTGGAAAGGCTGCATCCAGAACTTTTTCTCGACTTGGAACACAGGTGTTGACAGCGATCATGCACTTGTATGTGCTGACATGCGGATGCGTTTTGGCGGACACCCACGACGACGCTGTGAGTGTATTGACATCAGCCAACTGACAAAGCCAGCTGTTCTGAATGTCTATCAAAGTACGCTGATATGCGAGTTGAGTAAGCGCTCACTGGAGACAATTGATGGTCACTGGTCGCATGTTTATCAGTCCTTCCAAGCAGTAGGCAAATCCTCATGTGGTAAGTCTAATAGCCAACATGGACATTGGGTCTCTTCGCGGTCTCTGGAACTTATTGATGTTCGCCGGCATACTCCGGCTGGAAGCGAACACAATTAAACTCGCAAAGAGCTCCGGGCAAGATTCCGTGCTAGCCTGAAGAGAGACCGCAAATCCTGGTAGTTTCATCGTACGTCAGAGATGGAAGTAGCCGCTGCCTTTGGTAACCATCGAAAGTTATTCCGTCTGATACGGGAAACGGGCAGCAGGAGACCTGGTGTTAGTGAAACAATTTGTGACGATAGTGGACAGCCTATCCACAATTTGTCAAAACGTTTGAAGCGTTGGGCTGAGCATTTTGAAAAGCAATTTAATCGGTCGGAATTATTCGATTCCTCATTGGCCAGTGATTGCCCTGCTCCGTGGGCTCTTCCTTTGGATCCTCTCTTCCGCTCAGAAGTCAAACCTGATACCGGACTGTTGTAGTTGGACAAAGCCGTGGGACCAGATGATCTTCATCCAGCCCTCTTCACATTCGGAGGCCCTGTTCTTGTTGATGATTTACACGAATTACTAGTGAAACTGTGGGAGCAGGAAACTGTCCAAACCTACTGCTTCCTCTCCGTTATTGTTTCCATCTTTGAAGGAGGCTCACGATCGGAATGCGGCAACTATAGAGGAATCAGTCTGATCTCCATCGCCTCCAAATTGCTTGCCTCTGTAATCCTTCGCAAACTGATTGCCGCTCGTGAAAGCCAGATTCGTGAGGAACAAGCCGGGTTTCGTCAGGGTTGTGGCTGAAACGACCACATCTTCACATTACGTCAGAAGTTGAAGCACCGTCCACCGTAGTCGTGTTCCTCGATATCAAAGATGCCTTCGAATCGGTTGATCGATGTGCTTTTTGGGACTGTCTACTCAGGAAAGATGTGCCCGAGAAATGTGTAAATATTATCCAAGCGTTAAACGCGCGTAGAGCGGGCAGAGTGAGGGCTTACGGCAAGTTGTCTTCGCCCTTTAATATCTCCAACGGTGTGAGACAAGGATGCCTACTGTCACTTTTCCTCTTCAACTTGGCTAGTGACGAGGTCATGGAAATCGTGTTCACAGGACACGACTTAGAAAGTGTGGAGTTACTCCCAGGAGAACGACTTCTTGACTTAGAGTATGCAGACGATATTGCCCTCATCTGTGACAGCTCCCAGACGTGCCAAGCGGCACTGGACAGATTAGCGCTGACTGTCAGTCGCTTCGGGCTTTGCTTTGCACCATCGAAGTGCAAAGCGTTCCTCCAAGATTGGCAGGGATCGCCTCCTGCGCTGACCCTTGGTGGGGATCAGCTGGAAGTCGTTCAGAAATACAACTATCTGGGAAGTTGTATCAGCGCCCGTGGGATTGAAGATGAAATCGCGAACCGTATAGCAAAAGCTCGAAGTGCTTTTGCTAGTCTTGGCAACCTATGGCGGCGGCGCGCCATCACTCTCGCCCTGAAGGGTGGAGTGTACAATGCAGCGGTACGTTCGACCTTAGTGAACGGTTGCGAAGCCTGGCCCCTAACACCGGCGGACATAAAGAGGCTAGTTACGTTCGACCATCGGTGCCTTCCTAGTTTTGCTCACATCTGGTGGGAACATCGCGTGAGCAACTAGCGTGTTCGACGCCTTTTTAACGGCACAGGAAAAGGGACTGAACCGCTCAGCATTGTTATTTCACGCACCAGGCTCCGATGGCTCGGCCACGTGTTACGCATGCCAGCCCGCCGACTCCCGCGACGTGCGTTGTTTACTCGCCGGAGGTGTGGATGGAAGAAGAGGAGGAGTGGCCAAGGGATGATTTGGTCGAGAGGAATGAAGGCCTTCACTTCGGAGCTAGCCTCGGTTGGAGCGTCACGGCTCCCTGGTTGGGGTCCAAAAGATGAAAACGTTTGGCTAGACACACTTGCTGACATAGCTAGAAGCCGACCTCATTGGCGTTCCTGCTGTGAGTTTCTTTTCCCTCCCCATCCCTTTTAGCGTTCCCCTCCAACCGCGATCTTATTTCTTAGCATAATATAATTTTACATACTTTTATTGTTGTCTGGTAGCCGGCTGCTGGCTTTCTGGAACGATGCCCATCCGTTGCTGGTAGCTCAGCTGTCATGTAACTGTTGCATTTATTTTCTTTCGTTTCTTTTAGGTATTGCGGCACAGTAGCTGAGGTGTTTTACACCTCTAGCTAATCTGTATAATGATGACACTTCGGTATGTACTTCACGCCTTCAAAATGTAAAATATTGTTGCTGGACTGAACTTATACACCACCGATTCTCGCTATCACCGAATAGCCATTGGAACTGGTGGATCGGTTTACTTAGTATCTGTGTCACCTCTGGTTGTCACAACACTGGAGAGGTTACTTCGCGTATCAGCACAGGCCGTGTGGCTTTCCACAGACTCAACCATCTATGCATGCGGCGCGATATCAGACAGTTATTGAAAGGTAGGGTGTGTATCGCTGCGATATGGCTGGTTAGATCAGAAACCGAGTCGGTTTGTAGTGATGACATTAAACAATTGGCCATAATCGACCACCGATGCTTACGAAGTATTGCTCAGATCTTGTACGAACACCGATTGAGCGATGTTGAGGTCTAGTAGCGGGTTTTCGGCATAAAACCCTTTGGTGACTTGCTGGTGTGTTTGTTAAATCTTAACCGCCTACGTTAGCTAGACCATCTCTCCCGTATGCCCGTTGACCGACTTCCTCAGCGTGTATTGCACGATATCGTTGTAATTCAATCCGCTAGCTGGCCAGTCCATGAGGTAGTGGCTTGGCTTCATGAACAAGGTGTCTGAGAGATTGTTGCTTGCCGTCTACGTGGATGGGGGTCCCGGGATGGTCCATATTAGAGGTTTGAGACTATCAGGTATGACGCCGTCGCGTAGTCAGCGATGTTTTTTGCATTCAGCCATTAACCTTCATGCCATCTTGATTAGTTTTGCGTATTTTCCTTCCTGATTCCACTTCCTTCGTATTCTACTCGCATTAACATAATGTTCTTACCGTTGTTATTTATTGTTAATCTGGCCACATGATGAGTCGTAGCAATTAGATCCACATCATTTCTGTGCCTCTAGATCATCGTTTTTCCATTCTACTGAAAATAACGTTGTGTGCGATTGGATATGAGCTCGTTAGTATAATCGGAATGGATTGCACAAGCTGTGTGGCGGCTGTCTTTCCGATCGTACAATGCTGTAATCACTGCGCGCTGAAGCCGGTTTTTGTGAAGCATCAAAAATCGTTAGTTTGACTGCTTGGTTAATAATGTCGATATACACTGGTTGATCTTTCTTACAGGACTCGTAACTACATTTGCTTATTTTTGCGCCTGTCTAGCTTGCGTTTGCCAGTTCACATTCTGCACATGACGCATTTATCCCAGAGTAGCCAGGTCATAGCACGACAAAAATACTCAGCGTCAAATCCGTCGGCTGAATGTATAACTGCTGCTTATCGTGCTTCTCTACCTTGGTGCATGAGCCACCAAAACGCAGCCGACTAGTCCTTGACATATTTACATCAGGCTTACATCTTTCGACAGTTTATTTTTATCACCTGTATTTTCTCTTTTTACTGGTTTTCCTTCTTCACTTTCTTTTTTGTCCCATTATCAACGTTTACCACGGTGACAAGATAAACCCGTTACAAACTAAGCAACTAGAAATACTTTACACAAATTGAGCGCAAATCAATCAGGCCACGCTTGTCCAGCCGTTTTACGAATCGCGTTGTTATGTATCCCCATTTTCTGCTCACTTGCCTGCTCAACTCTAGTTGTCTGTTCAGGAGAGGTGGTGCCTGTCCACACCACGGGTCACAAATTTCTTTTTTCTTGTTTTTTTCCACACATTCCCATTGCCCTTCGCATCGGTGCCGTCATTTCGCTCGTCTTTTCCCTTCTACGACCTCCATCTTGTTAGCCCATACATTAGTGTTTCGGTTATTCCACTGCCGTTTAATGCAGCGCAGTTAAGATTTTAGCGTCTTATTTGGTTTTCACCACCTTATTTTTCAGATGGCCTCTCGAGTGATTATCAAGCTGTACGATTTGAATTCAACTAGTTTCGCTACCACGCTTCAGAGTATGCCGCGTGCCATCCAGGATCGGGCATCTGAAGTACTGCGAACGTATCAAAAAACAACCACGGCCAGTGGTATCCCCAGTGCAATAGATGCGTCCCATAATCTCCAATCATGGAAAACCACGTGGGTCTTCTGCCTTTTTCTACATCCGAGAGGTCTATGGGTATTAAGATGACTAACACTTAGTACAGACCTTTCACGCTATCTGGTAACCTCATATTCTCCTCTCCATTAAATTGTTTGGAAATAATTGAACTACTTGTGTCACGTTTACTTGTTCCCACTTACTCCAAGGTAACTTGATAACAAACCAACGTAGACTCCGCCAATCTGTTATTTCTATTCCTCCTTGACCCATTGTTACCAGCGACAATGTGACAAAGGTTCCTTGAATTTCCTATGGCGTTTCATTACAGCAGTCTGTGGTTTATCTTGCATTACTTGTTCCTAGGTCCATAAACCAGGATGGCTCAGCATCCCACGGTCAAAATTCGCCCGGATACGTAAGTCCAGAAACCATGAACAATATGATTCGTCAGGCTACCGAAGGTCTCCGGACGTTAACTACCGGCGCTCAGCCGTATGCTCCGACCTCTTATCGGAGATCTTCGTCGGGACCAGTGACAAAGCCTCTCAATGGTTCACGATTGGGGTCGGGCGCTGCAACTTCCATAAATGCTAATGGATTGGATAGCGTCTCCGACGAAACTCATGGAACTGTGCAATCGAGTGGCATAATGAAATCCACCTTGTTTCAACCGTGTTCACCTATTGTCGCTTCGCCTGTGCAGAATACTTACTTGTCTCCTCTGATGCCTTCCAGCAGCAGTCCCGATCACAACGCCCGTCCAGACAAAGTATGTTCTCACACCCCATTGCAAACGAGTCATTGTGTTTCCCGTTTCTTCTGACGACTACGCCTATCGTACTCGACTCTTCTCTTTTTATCCCTAGCAGAGGCTAAGCACGTCTTCTGTTCTTGTGCTCTTTACGGCGCTTTCTTTATGATTTGTAGTGTTTTGATTTTTTTAATTGCACTCCTATTGGCGTTTTGTCCCCTCTTTCCAAGTACTGGTGTACTAAAACATCTGGATATAAGTACTATTCTATTGGGTTTTAAGCGGAATCCTTTTAGCTACGCGGGTCACGTTCAGCTCAGTTACGAAAGCCAATCAACTGGTTGGCGCATCATCTCCTGTGACCGTCAAACCTAGAGTATGCAGACAATCCAACTACTATACAAGTACTACTGAATTGGTTAGCAGACAGCGCTTCACATTTCTGTTTGTGCTTGCTGTCTTCAAAATCCAGCATACTGTTACGGCATTGTGCTAACTCATATCTAATTCATTCCGTCACTGAGCAATCCTTTACTTGGGTACTTGTATCATTTCTTTCGCTCTCATTACTGACGTGCTTACTGCACCTTTCGCTGAGGGTTTTATGACTTTTCGCTGCCTCTGCAACTTATGGCTGGTTGTAAGCTTACCAATTAGGGGAATGTTTTGCAACGATCATCATCATCAATACACATTAGCCGAAGGTGAGAAACACATGTCAGCTAATGTGCCGCGATAAAAAATGATAAGAGATTAACCATTACAGACTACAAAGTTAAAAAAGTAACATAATGATAAATATCATATTATGCATTGGTCATGAGATCGCTGCTGGAGAAGGAGGCTAAAGAGGAGAGCAGAGACAAAATGACTCTCAGCACAAACGTAATTGTGGTCGGTCCTTTGCCCAACCAAACATGTTCATCGTCCTTCGGACCCCAGCCCGACAGTCGGGAAACGCCAACTTCGAAGGGAGGTACTCCATTCCTCTTGACCAAGTTATCGCTTGGCCTCCCCTCTTTTTCTTTCATCCAGTTCCAGGGCGCACAAACAGCGCACGACTCGGGAGTCGGTGTGCTGGCATGCGCAATACGTGGTCCGACCATCGAAGCTTGTTGGGTGATATAATGGTGCTGAGCGATTCGCTCGCTCTTGCTACACCAAATATCCAATTCCGAACACACTCATTGCTCATGCGGTATTCCCACCAGACACGAGCTACACTGCGATGGTCGAACGTAACTATCCACTTTATGTCTGTCAATTTGATGGGCCAGGTTTCGCAACCGTACAGTAGGGTTGAACGCACGGCTACGTTGTAGGCTGCCCTTCAGAACGAGAGTGATGTGACGCCGGCGTCACAGGTGGCGCAGCTTAGCAAAAGCTCCTCGAGCCTTTGCTATACGTTTTGTTATCTAATCTTTGATACCACCGGCGCTGATATAGCTGCCCAGGTTTTTCTATGTTTGGACAACTTCTGGCTGATTACCGTTATGAATCAGCGCAATCTTGGAGAAGGACTTTGCATTTCGATGGTGTAAAACATAGCCCGAAACGACTGACAGCCATAGCTAATTTCTCCAATGCAGCTTAGCACGTTTGGGAGCTGTCACAGCTGAGGGCAATGTCGGCGCACTCCAAGTCAAGAAGTCGTGTCCTGTGAACGCCGTTCCCGTAATTTCATCAATGGTGAAGTGGAAGAGGAAAGGTGACAACGAGCAACCTTATTTCACACCGCTGAAGATATTGAATGGCGGTGACACTTTGCTGTAAATACTCACTCCGTCAGTACTACGCGCGTACAACGCTTGGATGATATTTACTTATTTCTCGGGCACATTTTTTCCTGAGCAAACAATCCCAAAGGGCACATCGATCAACCGAATCGAAGGCACCTTTGATATCGAGGAACATGACTACGGTAGGTCTCTAATAAATATGATGCAAGCAAGTGCGTGTCCAGAGTCCACGCTTGTACTCCAAACCGAGCGCAGTTTTGCACGCAACCACTCCAACGGTAACTGATCGCGATGTCATTGATTTGCGTCCATGGCTTTTCCGAGGCCCGTAGGCGCCATGTCACTCTTGTGCAGGTGCTGTGTCTTTATTAAGTGCTCGCGAGAAACCGACGAGCGTATTCACAAAAGTGTACCAACCACTCACCGTTATCATTATCGGAGCCTAAAATGTGTTGACCGCTCAGATGCAGCTCATCATTGGACGGTTTTCCAGTTAGAGCGTACGGGTCCCCAACACTACAGTGTCCGTGCCTATCCTGTGACGAAGGAGCTCGTTCATTTGCCTATGGAAGTCGTCTTTTACCCAGTCATCGCTACATTTTATGCAGACGTAGGTGGCGATGACAAACAGACACCTATAGGCCCCGCGCAACTTCGAAGATTTGAACGAGCCAGCCAGTCGGACCGCATACATCCGGCTACTGATTCTAAAAAAACAAATAAACATTTATTTTCGACAACGTGAGGCACACCTTTACAGGCATGATCTTGTTAATACAACAAAGTGTAGTCAAAAATGTCTAAAAATACATGTTTTATATAACAGTTACTATATGTGTATGGGTGTACATACGTATGTAAATGGTGTGTATGTGGCTGTGTACCTTGTGCTTGTAAGTGTGTTCTTGTTTTTTAACTGTTTGGTATCGTCAGAAATGTGAGAATAAACGAATGAAATCCGTGGGTCGTATAGCATTATCCGGATATCCAGGTTGCAGGGACTATAGTTTGTGGGACCCAGTCAACCAGAGCAGCTTTAGCCCGGGGACAGCGCAATCCCAACAACGGCTTGGCCAGCATTCGAAGCTGCAATGGGAAAGAATTACTGGTGTCACCTGAAGGGGATTGCAGAACGAACACAGAGCTCCGGTCTTTTAGGCGGGTTTCCGGGTCAAGGCGCCTACACCTTGTGTAGGCGCCTTGACCCTGAATGTTTGCTTAGGGCATTAAGGTTTTCAGGTAAGTCCCCCTTCTCTCCCTCTTCTTATTCTTTATTTCATAGGTCCTCATGGTTGTATGGCAGCGAAGCATCAGTTCAAATGGCTGATGTACTGCTGTTGATGATGATGAGCAGATATCGATCGAGTGGGTCTCTACTATCCGGGTAAGTGCTGCCTGTTGACTGATCGGTAGCAATGTGCGTGCGTTGCGGTATGTCAATCTGAAGGAGGATCGAGGGCTCCAAATAGAAGCCGATGAACTAGGCTTGACCGCTTTTCTTGTCGACAGGACATGAGTGACACTCTGCGTTTAGCTTGTGAGTTTTTAAACTAGAAGATAAATGTCTAGTAAAGAAACGTGGGGAGTGACCAAGAATTGGGGGATAAAAGTGGAGTTTCCAACAACAGATGGCGTTCGTCAGCGTTGTCTAATTTACCAATTTTTATCAACTTCATTGTTGATTCCACCATATACTGTTACCTTGTAGACAGGCATCGTAGTGTTACCCGGTGGAGTACTAATTGATCGAGATTTTGTGAACGATGTTGTCTTTCTGTTTGACGTTTGAGTGGCCATGTCAGCCCTGGATACTCTGTAAAGTGGTCCCATCATTTGACATGCGTTTCACACATCGGATGAGCAAATTGCTGTTGCAGAACCTTTGCTAACAAAGAGCTTGAGGTAGTTGGTCAAATTGCTTGCTTTGGCAATGCATTAGCAGCGATGGGTGCTCCCGGACATTGCGACTACATCATCAGTTCACCACTGGCTCAGACAACCGGTCAAGATCTTCCCCCGTTTATTCATACGATGGATTGCGCTGTGAGTGGAAGTGCTCTCAACAGAGACGCGCTGATCCAAAGCACACCTTCGTCCATTCCTCATTGCCGTGGTGCTCGTGACCAGAAGTAAACGCTCTCACTCGTGCTTCATTCACGTGCAGTCACCCAAGGAGCTCGCTCTAAAAGGCATAACGACATTGCGAAATAGCTTACGACTACAATCCGCCTTCCCAGTATTCTTGTTACACCCGAGTCCAGACTACCTGCTATGAGCTTCTTTATCAAACCGGACCTGCTCGTTGTCAAGGTGACTAGCGCATACTTTGTAGACGTTGCTATGCGGCGCAGACCGCATAGAACGAACCCACAAACTGAAGATAAATATGCTGTCGGTCCACATGCAGAGACAATCTCCAGCGATATGCGGTCACAATTTCCGCAAGTTTCGAACATTATTCGCAGTTCCGTGATTTTGAACAACTGTGGATTTATTCTTCCTGTAACGGCGAGACATCTCAAATCCCTGTGTTTTTCATATTTCGACACATTTAGGATCTGTTTGCCTCCACTATTCGTGGGACACTCCGCGTGTATGACACTTTTATGCGCGGAGCCTCCTCCCTACAGCGTAAACACAGCACTGGCCAGCTTAGTGTGCGCTCCCGCCCGATTTGTGAATATCTTTATTCCTGACTAGTGTCTCCGTATTATGTCGGGACATAGTCCTGCCTCGGCAGTTTGCTTAAAGTCCCGATGTTGGGCTGTGCGCACAAATTTTGACAAATAAATATTATTCGTTCACCTTTTTCGAACGCTAGAACTGCCTTCTTGAACACGCGATATCTGTGGCGTCAGAATGGTTGTGTGTGCAAGACCGCAGTGATATTTTATGCACCCGTTTGCTTTCAAAAACTTTAAGACATCAAAAACCAACAACATTAGAGCGGCATAACCTGCATTCAGATTGTTTCATGTCTTCTCAGTCAGCCGCGTGGTGGGAATAAAGGAATGCAAATGAAAGGGGATCAATAGCAGAATCATTAGGACTCCGAGCAAATCGAGCTCATCGCCTGTAATGAATACTGAATATTGATTCGAAGCAGCGAGTAGAGCTTTCTCTGTGCAGCTGCATCATTCGTCGCTCTTGAACATATAGTCGTTATGTTCCGTTCCACTCTGTCTATTTTGCGTCTGCAAAATGTTTGTCAAGGAGCTTCTTAAATTACGACACTGTGTTCATCTCTGCTATCTGCTGCGGCAGGTCGTTCCAAACATT